AAGACTAAGGCAGAAAGTAAATCAACACATATGTTTGTTTACCCAGTTCGATACAGTGTGTATCTACATCTGGGGGACGATCACCGATGCGTCCAATCCACTAACTCATAATCCAACATACAAAGGTAGAGAAAAAACACAATCTCACCCAAGTGCCCCACACAAGGTCAGTACCCAGTCTACAAAGGTTTAGTGGATTGTTGTAGTTGGAGAGCCACGCATGCAAAAGTCCAATGAATCCCTTCAATTGGAGAGCTAACTCTGATGCAGTCCGCTTCAATTACGCAGTTCCACGTTGTTCCCACAACTGAGTGATCTTCGCGTCCAATCGTTTAAGCAACGTTGATACTTTTCAAGTTCTTCTTCATAATCACCAAGAACTTATTGTCTTGAGAAGATGCATGACAACCAGGGATGTCTATTCTGTCTAGTATAGAGTGTTGCGACTTCAATCAATGCAACCCTAACTTCTAAGCGAATAAGAATATATATACTTCTTTGATTTGTACACTCTCCAAATATATCTCTGATTGTAGATGGTAGGACTTTTTGTGAAGAAAGAAATATTAAGATTCGGTCCATAGCTCTTAAGCTGATTCGCTGATATTCTTTCCAAAACCATCATCTCATAACCGTGTTCCAGCTTTTAGAAAACTTTCCTTTATCAGATCTTCGGTGGCTTGATCTAGCGGTGCGTCTGTTGATTGTACTGATCAGTCAGTCTTCTTTAAGGACAAACAGACACCAAGCTAAACCCTATCTTAATTTGCCATAATAATATTGCCAATAATATGTTGGGGTTTTTCTTAAAGAAATAAAACACTAAAAATGTTGACAAAGTGAAAAAGCCGGAATCTCAAGACGGCGGAAGTTTGGTTGACTTTGAGCCAGTTTCCAGCAGAAATACACATGACGAGATTCAGGAAAATGGTCAGAACGGTGATCCAGTACCAGACCGCCAGGATGATACAGTTGATGTGGATGGTCATGTTAATGATGTTGTGCACCAGGAACAAGAAGTTCCTTCACAGGTTCCAGTTGATCCTCCTAGAATGTCTAACAGGGAACGGAGATCATCTACTCGTTACTCTTCCAGTCAGTATGTGCTATTGACTGATGGGGGAGAACCAGAGTCCTATGAAGAAGCCATGGAGAGTGAGCAAAAGAGACAATAGCTTGAAGCTATGCAGGACGAGATGAACACCCTATATGCAAATGATACCTTTGAGTTGGTGAAGGCACCAAAGAACAGGAAAGCTCTGAAGAATAGGTGGATCTACATATTAAAACATGAAGAAGGCACTTCAGTTCCATGATTTAAAGCTCGGCTGGTGGTGAAAGGTTTTAGCTAGAAGAAATGTATTGATTTTGATGAAATTTTCTCTCCTGTTGTGAAATTTTCATCCATTAGAGTTGCTTTTGGTCTAGCAGCCCGTTTGGATTTAGCAGTTGAGCAGATAGATGTGAAGACAGCTTTTCTCTATGGTGATTTAGATGAGGAGATATATATGGAGCAGCCTGAGGGTTTCAAAGTCAAAGGGAAAGAGGATTATGTTTGCAGATTGAAGAAGAGTTTGTATGGTTTGAAGCAAGCTCCGAGGCAGTGGTATAAAAAGTTTACTTCCGTTATGAGTAAGCATGGGTACAAGAAGACTTCTTCAGACCATTGTGTTTTTGTAACAAATATTTGTTCAACCTGCACCTACTGACATTCATTAAATGTCATTTGAATTTTTTTGAACGTTGCTTGGCGGTGGATCTGTTCGGCAGAAGTCAAGAACAAGGAAATTACTTTTTCTTTGTTTCACACTCCTTTTTGCAGCATATATGTGAAAATGTTGAAAAATCGATTTCTTTATTCAATTCCCATTTCAGCTGTCAGCATGGAATGAGGGAAAATTAATTGCCTTTGGTTGATATATACATACTCTACTACTTTCATTGGTAAGATGCAGAAGATAGTAGAAAATAGAGAGAGAAAATTCCATTTTCTCTAAGTCTTCCTTCATTCGGCAATGAGGGGGAAAATGAAATCATTTCATTTGTTTCATCCTCCATTTTGGCGCAGTTCGTGGCGTTGGTTTGCCGAAGCTCTTGGGTACTTCATCAAATATTTGTAGAGGTCAATCAGCTTGTTTGTTCCAGGCATCGTTTGGGTAATCTCGTACTATTTATAGTCATTTTATCATATTCGTGGTGGTTGAATATTTTGAGTACGAGATATTATTCCTTTTAGCCTGTGAACGTGATAGAATGTATTTGGACTAGTATTGTTGTATTTGATGATTTTATAGATGTATGACTCATGTGATAGTCTGAAACTTTGTACCCGAGATTTGTTATAGTGGAAACTTTGTTGGTGGTGGTCCCGTGGTTTTTCCCCGATTTGGAGTTTTCGATGTAAATCGTGTGTTCCTTGTGTTTGTTATTTATTTTGGCTATTTTGTACCATTCCGTATTTGCGCTCTTGTCGGTCCTATGATTTTATTTGTCAAGGTAGTGGGATTTTTCCCAACAATACTTTCATGTTTAGTGATGTGAACCGTATCATACAAGTACATGCCCATCCTATGAAGATTTGTGGTTTTAGTACAGGGACCTAGGTGGCTGTTATTCTGTGAAGAGTTTGTTATAGAAGCATCGTTGGTGAAGTTGATCCAAGTCCGAATGGCTTTAGTAAATGGAACTCAATGTGGAAAATTAAAGCCCCACCCAAGTGGAAGATGGAGAGTTATTAGTGGTATTCTCCCCACCATTACAAGCCTTCTTATAAGGAGAGTATAAGTTAGCCCCTCATGTGTCTCCTTTCATAAGAATATCATGCATGCTCTTGTGGGGTGTGAATTTGCACAGCTTATTTGGCATGCATCCCAACTCTCTGTTGATTGTGTGAATGGAAGTTCTTTTCGTGAGAGGTTCCAAGATGCTATGAGTATGTTAACACCCTCTTGTCAAAGTGGTTGCAGTTTTATACCAAATATGGAACGCGAGGAACGGAGCCGTGTAGAACGCTTGCATGCAACGGCCGGAACAAATCTGGAGATGTGCAACTGCTGCCCTTTCTGCTTGGGAAGCCTCTGCTGGAAGGACATTGTCGGCCTCTTCAGCTGCTACGGGACAGTAGCAACAGTTAGCGTTGCCGCCAAGACAATAGTAGCAGTCACTGTTTGGCGCCTTGCAATGCTTCTTCGATGCAGGGTACTCCTCAACAGCGGCAACGACGACGTACGAGGTAGTGTTGCTCTCGACCGAAGGATCTTTCATGGCTGCAATGAACGGAAACCTACCCTAATGCTCCAATGCTCTCGCGACGGAATCATTAGCTTGCAAGGAGGCCCACTCGTGGTTAAAGAACCGTGGAGTCGCTTTGGTAGCCTTACATACAGATTATTCAGTACTTCATCGCTACATTACTAGCTCTATTGCCAAACCAAGATCGTATGTTGGTGTGGTGATCAACGATTGTTTATGTGCTATGTCTTTATTTACTTCCTGTCATTTATTTTTAGTATCTAGACAGTTTAATTTGATTGCTCACACTTTAGCTTCTAAAGCCTCTGCTCAGCCTAGTTCGTTGTATTGGGACTCTGTCCCGTCAGAGTGACCTGACTTTGTTTCAGCTCTTTTGCAGTAATTTAATCATGCTGATTTTTGTTTTCAAAAAAAAAAAAAATTATTGAACTTAAAAAGTATGTACTTGAACTATTAACAAGAAAAACAAGTTCAATTGAAACATTTTTCTTATTTTTTATAGTACAATTTGAGTTAAAAGCATTTGCATCTTTCCTTCCAACATGCACAGCCAAGAGGAAAGAAAACTTTTATACATACCAAGTAAGCAATGTGAGTAATTCTAAGTTAGCTTGATAAAATATTTTAAGTTCGACCTCGTAGAAGCTGTCTATTGTTAAAAAATAAATAAATAAATAAAATAACATTGTAAGTGACTATTATGTGGTACAAATATATGTGGGGTACACTTTCACTTTGGGTCGGTTAAAGTGGATTCGAGTTCCTTTTTGTGATACGAAGGGATCAATATATTTTACGCTCAAAATGGATAAACGGATAATGGGTGATTGAGAAATTAATTGATTCTTAATGTAGATCGACTCATTTAAGTTGGAAAACGAAAGTGGAAAGGCTTGAAACAAACACTTGTCCCACATTAGAAAGGAAGGGAATTTGCACCAGTATGTATAAAAGAGCCTTTTTAAAAGGATATTGAATTTATAATATAGAGGCTTTCTCGCGCGTATGGGGTGTAAATCAAATCGCAAAATGAGTCACCGTTGACCGAGTAGTAACATATTAATTCCAATAATTTTAAATTTTAGAATTAATCTCCAAATTAATTTCGTTGAAGGTTACAAATACTAGTTTTATTATCAGTTTTAATGTCATGATAAATGCATTTCATTGAAGGTTACAAATACTGATTTTATTATCAATTTTAATGTCATGATAATTTTTTTTGTCATGATAAATGATATTTATCCTCCCATCTCCTATATAAACCTCAGATGAAGCAGGTGATTTTAGACACTAGAAAATCTAGCTTTATCTCTCGAAACCTTGCTCATCTTCCTACTTTCTGTTTTCAAAGCCATGTTCTATAGTTTGCCGGGCTTATTGTTTGAGTACTCAAACCATAAGTTGTAGTTCGTTTTATCCTGGGAAACCTAGGCTACAAGCCTACAACGCTTCTAATACCTTGTAAGGTAGCAAATAAGGTTTTAAGGAAAGAGTGTTTCGCTTGACTTGAACTAAACTTCAACTTCTCGTTCCTGTTCTTGTCAATTTTTCAAAAATAATATTTTCATAAGATTATATTTCCTAACATCTATTGACATTCTTGATTTGAGTTAATCAGCTATGACCAACCTAGATTTGTTTATCACACATTGTGGTCCTTTGCTGGCCATAAGACATGCTAGTTTACCTCATTGTAGCAGTTGCGGATTTATCCATGAATTTTTATTTTTTTTTAAACTAAAAAATATTCCAATTAAACATATTTTAATTTGTTTGTTTAATAGTTTGATTACACACCCCTTAAATTCAGCGAACCAATTACACAATAGTAATAGGTCCAATAGCCTATTTAACATTTTTTTCATTAAAAATATTAACGATTTAGCTGCTTAAAACATGCATCCAGCTAAAGTAACACGATAGAAACTTGGACCATCACTTCATTCATCTGCAATCTGGACCATCTTTTTCCCAATGTTGTCGCCTCGAAAAAGTCCTATGAAAGCCGAGGGAATGTTCTCAACGCCATGCGAGATGTCTTCGAGCACCTTGATTTTCCCAGCTTTGAGGTACTCTAATGTTCTGGAATAGAAATCTGCATACACTTTCATGAAATCAGAAGCTAGAAACCCTTGGATCTTGATCCTCTTATAAATGACATCTATCATGTTGGGTGCAGCTCGCGTTGTGGTGTTTGTGTACTCGGAAATAACGCCGCAGACTGCAACTCTTCCATGTGTGTTCATGTTGGCCACTGCAGCTTCCAACATTCTTCCTCCCACGTTGTCAAAATATATGTCTATTCCTTCCGGAAAACACCTGTTGAACAACATTAATTTGTAAGCTAAGTGTTGGATTAATGCTATGATTTATTAGTAACCATTCTTTCAATTGACATACAAAAAGTAAGAATCTTAGCTTCAAAGTGTTGAAAAGGAATCTTGTTATTACTCGGACTGAACTTCCTCATTGAACGGGCGGGGGACTACTTAATAGAGAATACTCCTAGAGTATATTTCCCCTTTACGTGACGTACACTTGCTCGGTATCTGATTGGCTCGTCAATGGGGATCATTTTCCACTTGGACGACCAACCATAAACTCAATATTTCCTACCTAAATGCGGTAACGGAGCTACTTGGTTACTGCGATAACACTTCGCTGCTCAAGAACCAATCCCGGTCAGATTGGGTCGGGACGATTGTCCCGAGCCAAACCACTCAACCTAGAACCTTGTTTGAATCTAGCCCCATTCTAGTGGGTGAGGAGACTTGATAAAATCCAAGTATGTGTTTTAGCTTAATTAAAAATTTAAGTTGATACTCTTCACCTGCATAGCCTGATTATATTTTAATGGATTCCAAGCAACATGTGCATTATATATAGTTCCCTTAACGTGTGCTAACTATTACATTTTAATGGGCTCTAAGCAATACGTGATCACATGTGCGAACTAATTATAATTAGATTTTAAGCAACACGTGGACTATAATATTTTGACTGCTTTGATACTAAATTGAATTATGCATTTCGTTTTAACTAACAATTAAAAGTAATTGTTGGAGTGTACATTTATGCTATATATATTATGTTCAAAGGGTAAATGCAGCATTGAGGATTCGAGATTGGACCTTTTAAGAGTTGAATTGAGGTCAGATTCTTCTTTGTAGTTGAAGGCATCATCAAAACCAAGCTTCTCTTTAAGTACGTTAACCTGTAATTTAACACTCGTTAACTATATATATATATATATGGATGGGTTCAAATAAGATCAGCAATCATCTTTTATAAAAAGTGAGGACTAATCTTAATTGCCCATCAAAATTTATCAATGTTTGATGATCTTAGTAAAAATAATGTGGGGTCAATTTTTAAGTATTACAAACTTTTAAGTTTGTAATATTTATAAAACTGACACAACATTTTTCCCTTATCTTTCAGCAACCTTCAACCACTAATCTACCCAAATTAATAAATCATATTATTCCTCATTCATGTTTCAATATGTATATATATACTATAAGATAAAAGGCAAAACCTTGTGTGAGACCATCTCACGGGTCTCAATCCGTGAGACGTGTCGGATCTTTGATTTGTGAGATCAAAGATCTGACCCATTAATAAAAATTTGACACATTAATCAAAGATCCAACCCGTCTCACCAATTTAGATCCTTGAGACGGTTTCACACAAATGTTACCCACGATAAAATGGTGAGAAGGTAAACCTTTTGTTGGGAGCCAGCACAGCCAACAACATAACAGCCAAACAGCTTTGCATATTGTCCTACTAAGTTTCCAACTGATCCGGAAGCTGCAGACACAAAAACCTTCTCCCCTTTCTGAAGTTTACAAATCTCAAAAAGTCCACCATATGCTGAAAGTCCACTAAACCCTGCACCAATATATATTATTAAAAGAAAATAAAACAAAGAAAAAAAAACAATTAAATAAACTAAGTTACAGCAAACCACCTAGTTTTCCCTAAATTTAAAAAAAAAAATCAAATTAAATAAACCATATAAATTGATTAACTAATGTAATTGAGCTCCTAACGTCAAAAAAAAAAAAAAAAAAAAATTAAACATTTTCACGGGACGGGATGGGCTAAGCCTGTTTTGACGACTCTAATTTTTAGTTTCCAACTAGTTTCAAATCATTGGTGGTTGAAAATTAAGGAAACATGTCCCACGTTAACTAACCTTTTTTTCTTTTTACCACAAACATGTCCCACGTTATACTGAACAAATTGCTTTTACCACAGAAAAAAAAGTTCCAATTATTTTAAAGGGGTCTAAAAATAAAATTGCTAGCATTACCCAAAACTCCAACATGGTGAGACAGTGGAAAGCCCATGGGGTCTAACTTATTCAGCAGACTGCCCTCTTTCAGTACACAGTATTCTCCCCAACTAAGAAGACCTGTAACCAAGTCATCCTTCTTGATATCGGCCCTACCAGAGGCCAAAACTTTCCCCACTCCACATGCATCAATTCTCTGCAGATACAAAGAGAAAAACAAAATTCATATGGAATTTGTATATTAGTAAGCACTCAAGAGAGAAATAAGAATCACTTACAGTCGTTCATGTGTCCAGATCAATGAATTATATGTAACTTTAAAAAGACGATGCGATGACATTTTCGTAAATAACTTGAACTTTGGTGCAAGTAAAATGTGTTACAAGTGCAAGTAACTGAGTGCAAGTTTGCAAGTAAAAATACTTACAAGTGCAACTATTTTCATTTACAAGTGCAAGTAATTTATCTGTCTGGTGCAACTAATGATAACGTTAGGTGCACTTAATATTGCTGCTCACTGTACATTTTACTTGCACTTGTAATACATTTTACTTGCACTTAGGTGTACTATATGAAACTTTTACTTGCACTTTATCACAATTTACTTACACTTCAATGATTAATTATTTACGAAAATGTCTTCACGTTTATTTTTTAAAATTAGTATTTCTGATTCGTTAGATTTGAACACGTGGACGACTGTAAGTGATTCTGATTTCTCTGCTAGGCAACCCGTTCTCACTTGAACGGAATTATATGCGTGTGGTCTAGATAGTCATATATAATACCATGTTAAGAAAATAAGAAGTGACCGAATTTAGTGATTTTTGTAAAATAATTGTACGGTGCTTTTACTTTAATCCTCAAAATTTTCATTTTCCATTTTTTGTTTTTATATACACACAAGTAAATACATATCACATTTTTCTTTCTAAAAAAAAAAAGAAAAGAAAAAAGAATTTCTTCGGAAAAGAAGTATCTATCACAACTTACTTTAATTTTCATTCTTTAAAATTTCTTGAGCCTTTCATTCTTTATCCTCTATTTTTAAAGAAAAATGATTTTTTTAAAAAATTTCTCCTACATTTTTACATCATCTCTCCTTGTTATTATTCTATTAAAGTACCTACTAAATAAAATAATATTGAATAGTCAAAACATTTTTATTGGTGAAAAAAAATAATTAAGTTTTCTTCAACATTTTTTTAATTAAATACTACTGGCCTTTTAAACTTGTGGCCTCTCCTTTAAAAGGGTCATAGAGGTGTCATTAAATTACAAATTACTTTGCTAGTTTCTTCTATTATTAAATTAAAAAACTGCTAACTATTATTGTGATGACATCTATATTACCATTTTAAAAGAATGAATTTAAGAAAGTATAGAACAGATACTATACAAGTAAAAATATGGCATACTAGAAAAAGTATGACGACGTACCTCGCCGGGAGTAATGGCGACGGCAAAATTAATGGATTTCTGCGACGAGCTTTGAGACTTCATCCGGTTGAGCTGGTAGGGGTCAATTGACACATACAGGTTCTTCACAATAACATCTTTCGAACCGGGTTCAACTGAGAGGGACAGGATTTCTGTGTTCAACTCAAAGTCAGATTCTTGTGGCGCACCATCTATGTTATTCCTTATGGACACATACTTGTTTCTTACTTCCATTATCACCGGTGGGAGCCTTGGAATGGGGGAAGAAGAAAACTGGAAATTTTGTAATGATTTCTCTGAAAATAGCTCAGAGCATACATACTTACATAGTATATATACATGAGAAAAGGTTTTAGTTACCCAAAAAGATAAATACAAGTTAAAAATGAGTTAATACCCAAAATGTCATGACTATAGTGGTTTTTCTCAATTTCACCCTAAACGATTTTGGTGGCCTAATGTTGTCTTGGACTTTTGTGTTTTTGCTCAATTTAGTATTCCGTTTGTTATTTCGTCAAATTGGTGTTGAATAAAGGGACAATTATGTGATCTCAATATTGGGCTTTCTTTACTCTTAATCCTATGAAGTGCAAAATCTCCATTTCTTTTATGAATTACTCACAGATCTGCGAATCAAATTTTATATTCGCAGGTTTGGGAGTAATTCGTAAAAGAAAGAGGGATTTCACACTTCAGGTCTAGGAGTAAAGAGATCTCAATATTGAAATTACTTAATTGTCCCTCTATTTAACACCAAATAGATGGAATAACAAACAGAGGACTAAATTGAGCAAAAACACAAAAATCTGGGACTACATTAGGTCACCAAAGTTGTTTAGGATTAAATTGAGAAATATTACTATAATCGATGACCATTTTGGGTATTAACTCAATTAAAAATTGTGGCCACCTAACCAAATGATTGGACCGTCGGTTTGGTAATTACAGGGTTTGAAGTTAACATTTTAGTGCAACCTGTTTATTGACCTTCTTGGTTTGATAAACTGGTTTACCTTATTATGGTCATTTGTTAGTTAGGGTGACAATACGTAATTTACTCCGTACATATCAGATAGTGGTTGCGTGTTTCACTCATCACTCAAAGCAACTTGTACGTGTGAGAACACGTAAGAGATCTCAAATATGTACATATTTTAAAAAATGTATAGTTAGTAATACTTTATAACAATTTAAGGTGGTGATCCGTCTCAACAAGAATTTTAAAATGACAGTTCAATGATACATACATACATATGTGTGTATGTGTGTGTGTTTAAGATCAGGTGCCGCGAAGGAGGTTCCATGTGAAAAATTCAGTTTATCTCAGCGATTGATTCATTCAAGATCAACTGCTCTTTTAAAAAAAAATTGTCACTTACAATCTTAAAAAATGTGGACCGAAAAGCACAGGGATGTGAAGCAATTATTGAAAACAGTAAATTCAATACATTATCTTCAACACAAATCATAAACGAACACAAATCATCATAAACAAGCAATACAAGATTCAACTCAAATTAGTAATTAGTGATTCATTCAAGATCAATTTCTCTTTAAAAAAAATATATGTCTTTAAAAAAGCCCTGAAAGGGGTATTTAAAGACAACTAGGGGGTTCAAGAACGCTTAAATAAAAATGACACCTACGATCTTAAAAAATGTGCACTGCTAGGCAGCACAATCTGCACTGGAAGGCAACAATGAGCACTTGACGACAGAACAATTTGCACTCAACGGGAGAAATTGTGTGCTCTAGAAGAGATAACAATGTGCACTGGAAGAAGGAAAAATATTGCACTAAAAGACAAAAAGAATTAACTTATACAAAACTATCATAATCTCACCGCATTAAAAAAAAAAAAAAAAAAAAAAAAAAAAAAAAAAACTTCATTCCGGACCTTTGATCTAGAGTCTAGACTAGATCAATGGATAAAATTAAACTCTATCTTTACCTAAGGCAACTTCCGCGCCTAATATATATATATATATATATATATATATATATATATATTACATGCTCAACAAATGTTATATTTTTCTTAAAAAATATTAGTAACAATTTATATTTTTCAATAAAAAAGTTTGACTGGTTAAAAAGTTATATATTTATTAAAATTGTTATAAATATTTTCATTATGGCCATTAATCTTGAGTCTCTTCATTTGCCTTCCACTTATTACATTGTTTATGATTAAGGATATGAAAGGTTGTATGGATTCCTATAAATTGATAGTGAAGGCTAATGAAATGATATGGTTGTTGTGCCCTACATATGGTGTTCTTCTTCTTCTCCTTTTTCTCTCTTTATACATATACGCGCATATCTCCAAGCTATTGCCGTGCAATCATCACGCGAGAACTGAGCTAGTTGATAGGCCAAATTACAACACGTTATCAGCACGAATTGCCAATATATTTCTCGGTGAACGGTATGCTCGAACTTGTTATAATACATGTTTTTAAACTAGGCAAGCATGTTCATAGGATTCATATAAGACATGTTTTTATATGGCACATGTTGATTCTACACCTCTTGATATGATTATGAAATGCATGATTGATATGATACATATTGATTCTAAAATTTGAAATATGAATTGCTCATACTGGTTCGTATATATATGATTGCGTAAATTCCTGAATATATATTTCCAATTTTATTTTTGATTCTTAAAATTGAAAGAAAAGCATGTGATATATATGTTTGTGTAAATAGAATGGGCTTTTCATATGAAGATGCAATGTATGTATACATATTATTTTCATTTCGCATACTTTGTATGTTATATACCCTATGTTGTAGTGCATTATTATGCTTTTATGGTATGCCATTTGCATGTGATTAGCAATTCGTTTTTGTGCCTGATTAGGCAATGAATGAATGATTTTTAATTAAGATTGTTAAAGTTTATTTTGTGTAAGCTTAAGAGTGATTAAGACTTTAAAGCTTAATTGATGACTTGGGAGCATCAATTCGGTGTATTGGAGAATGAAACACCACTCGTTGCCTATAGCACGAGTTGATGCTATAAACACGAGTCGATGCTTGCTGCATCAATTCGGTGTTTTCGCACCGATTCGTGCCTTGTTGCTTGTAGCACAAGTTGATGGTATAAACACGAGTCGATGCTTGTTGCATCAATTTGGTGTTTGCCTCACCAATTCGTGTTGCACCATTTCAGTTTTTGTGTATATTCGAAAGATCAATTTGTTTTCTGATTTTATCTTTTGACTTCATCTCGGAAAGTTCATTTTGCATCTAGAAGATGTTAAATTCCTTATTTTGCTATAAACATGTGATATTATGAATGTATATGAGAACATATGATATATGTTTTGTAGATTACGTATTCAATTGTCAAATGTGATTTTATTGAGCTCGCTCATGTCGATAGCAATTATTTCATTTGGGCTTTGGATATTGAAATATTCTTTTTGCATCCAAAGAATTGAGCCAAGCTTTTTTTGCTAAGTCACAGAGCACCGATGCCCAGAAGGCACAAGCTCTCATTTTCATACGTCACTACTTGAACCACGATATTAAAAATGAGTATCTGATTGAAAAAGAACCCCTTGAATTAATGGAAGTCCCTGAAGGACTATTCCGACCAAAAGTCATCAAATGTTCTTCCCCAAGACACATTTTGACTAGTTTAATCTCATGTTTAATTTTAAGATTATAAGTCAGTAACTGACTATAATTCAGCTCTACACAAAATAGTCTTAGAAGTGAAACTCTAAACAAGAAGTTTTAGAGAAATATTTAATTGAAAAGACATTGCCAACTTTTCATGCGAGTAATTTGTACTCCAGCAGTAGTACAACACAAAATTATGAGAAGCATCCTAAGCTAATTTTAGCACTCCTTGTGGCTAAGAAACATAACTAGTTGTTGATGAAGAATCAAAATGCATGTCTGGTTGATTTTGCACAGGTGCCTGAAGCACATAATGTTACCGAGTTGCGTAACTTCATAAGGGGTTGTGGTCGAGATTATAACCAGTGTGGTATGAGTTTCGAGCTCAGAATAAGAAATAAAGTGATCAAGATATTCAAGGACGACCAAACTTATCAAGGCAAAATCTTAGCCAGAAGCAGATTTGCTAACAATGTGGGTTTGAAGGGCATTAATCCCTATGTGCCGCATATCAAAGCATTTGGTCATCAGAGAATGAACATCATCTTGATGATTCTAGCTAATTTGCCTGAAGCAAATATTGCAATAAAATGCTGATAATGAAATGATAAGGTATTGATGAAGAAATGATTGGTGTCATGATAATGTTTGAGTAATTCATGAAAATATATTCATGGATAAAAAGGTTAGCTAGCTCATGCCTGAAGCATGAAGCATCCGAGAAGTTAACTTATGCCTGAAGCACCCGAAAAGTTAATTCATTGCCGCAATAACTTATTGCGTAACCGAGTAGTATATACACTCCAAATGTTTTTTTGAGTGCAAAGTTATTTTTTTTGGAGGCAAATTATTATGAGTGCAAAGTGGCTTTACTTTGCTGATTTTTCTTGCTGTTTTTACTACTCGAATTGACTATTCAAAAAGTTTACCTCTCTAAGCTTACATCTCTTAGCTTACCTCTGTAATCTTACTTCTCGATTTACTTCTTGAATTTTTACTTTCTGGAACTTTATTTTTCAGAGGAAGTTTACTTCTCAGAATTAATTCTATTAGTTTGCATGCTTATTTATGGAATTTTTTCTCATGCATGCAACATGACTCTCATATGAAATTGACTGGTTGCTAATTCAAGATTGAATTATTGTCAATCCCGGAAGGATTGCTATTATCAACAAATTATGAGAATCTTCTTTTGACTAAATTTATGATGTCAACATGACTAAATTCTCTCAGAATATGACTTAGTGCAATTCTGTGTTGTTTAGGGATTTGTATACTCGTTTATAAAAATGATCTTTGACTTATTGTCATACATGATATGATTGATTTAGATGTTATTGGTTTGGAAGATAGAAATGAATTATATCATATCAATTTGCCTGAAGCAAACGAAGGAATAAATTATTTCATATTAGTTTGCCTGAAGCAAATGAGGGAGTGAATTATATCATGTGAATTTGCACGAAACAATTCCCAAACCAGTGAGTGACCTAATGTAAAGTTCAGGATAAGAATTTTTAGAAGATCTTGAAGATCTATTTTATTTGACAAGCTTCACAGCTTCCCTATGATTGTTGTGTACCCTTAGCTTGTAATATCATTTGATATGTATGCTTTCATATATGATTATATATTTTCTTGTTGGGGACATCAGTTTTATATGCTATTGTGGTTATCACAATCTCACCTACTGCATATC